TTGTCAGTAGTTCTTTGATGTGAAAGGGACAGTACAGTCATTTAAACTTGATCCAACCTCTTTGCATCTTACAAAGTTAAACAGCTAAAAGAAGTAAAATAAGAAGGCAATGCTTGTGGAATGTACAGTGCATATTGGTGGCGCACGCCTCATTACGATTCGCCTGCTTGCTTCTCCTGTTCCATCGTTTCTTTGGAAGGCAGTGGATTTTTCTCTTGCGTCTCTGTCTTCTTCAGTTTCGAGTTACCGAATTTCTCGATCTCAGCCATATCGGGTTTGTCAGACATGGTTGCGCAGGCAAAGTGGAGCCAGGCACGCGAGAACAAGCGAAGTCTGGTCTGCACAGTGGCCACCACCGAGTTGTCCTGTTTTACTGTTTTTAACATCAATTTCTTCTTTCATTTTTATAACTTCCTTCTGCCCTCTTGAAGTTTACTTTGTTGTTATTTTGTTTTTATTTTATTTATTTATTTTGTAAAGATAAGTTCTTGTTCTATTGCCTTGGCTGGAGTGCAGAGGAAAGACATAGCTCACAGCCTCAAACTCCTGGGCTCAAGCTATCCTCCCATCTCAGCCTCTGAAGTAGGTAGGACTACAGGCATGCGCCACCACATCTGGCTAATTTTTTTCTTAAGTTTTTGTAGAGATGGGGTCTCAAAATCCTGTGCTCAAGTGATCCTCATGCCCTAGCCTCTCAAAGTGATAGGATTACAGGCATGAGCCACTTGCCCAGTCTAAAATGAATGACATATTTGAAAAATACGTTCAGCATAAAATCTGGATTTAGGATTACAAAAGCTTAGTAGAATACACTTTTATTTCTGTGGTATAAATTTATTAATCTGCATTTGGGTTTGATTTCAACATTTATTGTCTAATAAAATATTAGGATTAACATATTTATTAAACATGTGGGAACACTCAACAGCTACTAAATTTCTACTGTATGTCCAGCACTGAGGTAGAAATTCTGGCAGCATGAAAGAAGAAGTCATTCTCTCATGTCTTTCCACATTTTAAAAAATTCTCTAGAAACCAGTAAATCACCAGCTTTTACAAAGAATCTTTGAGTATTGGTTATTTAGATGACAGAAGTACTTTCAGTCTGTAAATCTTGGCCCATTATGGTAGACACTGATTACTGCAATAAGAATTCATTCCTTGACATATCCTACTTGCACAATAAATGATGATAAGATCAATGTCTACAAAATCACTTATGATAATTATTCCTGTGACATAGTCTGAGGAATAAATGACATGGGCAAAGCAAATGAGGCCTTAAAATACTGGTATTTTCTCATTACAGTAAAGCCCTTACAGCTCCTATCATTGTAGTATTTATATGGGACATTCATGTACATATGCAATCAAATAATAGAAATATATTTAGCATAATTTAATTTGTGACTGTTTGAAAACAACAGAAAATGTCAAACTGTGTTGAACTGTGAAATGCATACCATTTTATTTATTTATTTCTCACATACCATTTTAAATGAACCCTGCTGACCTTCTTCCGTTCCGTGGCTGAAAAATAATAGATTAGAAATAAATCATTGTAACTAAAGATGGAAGCTAATAGTCATAGGAACAGATTGATGACTTAGAGGAGTGTTTAATGTGCATCACAATCATCTAGAGGGCTTTTTACAACATAGACTGTTGGACTCCTTAGCCAGAATTTCTGATTTAGTAAGTCTGAGAATCCTGAGAAATTTGTATTTCTAACAAGTTCTGAGGTGATGCTAATGCTGCGAAGACCACCATGAACTAGATGCTATTTGACTTTAATTATTTCCTTGATGGTACCAACATTTTAAAACAAATGTTCTCAATTTTAATTTGATATGAACCAAAATGAACTTACTGAAGTCAGGGCTGTTTAGCTGCTTACTCCTTCCTGCTATCAGTCCAATTCCTTCATTCAATCCATTCTCTAATTTGCTATTAGAATTATTTTCCAAAAGGCAAATCTTACATTTGCCCCCTCCTTAGCCTTTAGTGTAAAGCTGAAATCTCTTAGCTAAATATTTCATCAACCACTTCCCATTGATTCTTCAGGATTCAGCTCATGAAGCTTCTCTGTACCTCTTCCATTCCCCAGCTGGAGTTAAATGCTTTTCTTTTGGAAACCACAGCCCTTGGATTACAAGTGCATTTCACACAGTACTTTATATTTGTTTACTTATCTGCTTTCTCTTAGAGCCTATCTAAACTCCTAGAGCACAGGAATGGAATCCTATCTGTCTTTATAGTCCCAGCCCTTGGTACATTGCTCAGCACCCAGTAGAAGTTCAATAAATACTTGTTGAACTAATTAATTAAAACTTTCTGGTAATGTATTAAGGATGCAAATATTTTGCAAAGTGTAGCTGCCTAGAATAAAAACACATTTTACAGACAATGTGGACAAACAAAATCAGAAATGTAATCCCGAAATTCTGTCTACTTATACCTTTTATTATGATTGGTTCTTTTAATTTTAAGAATTTGTGAATTCTCTTCCAATCTACTGAGTTAAAAAATTTGTAAATAATTCCATAGAAATAAGGAATAGTGTATCTTTAAGACACCTATTTTCTATACACAAAATGTCATAGAATTAAAGTGTCAAATAGGTGACTGTTACTGGAGGTGTTTAAACATGAGCAATAGATCAAAGGAGAGATCAGAGATACTATGGTATTGAAGCAATAAAGTGGTGACAGAAGTGAATGTCAGACTGTAACACCTGATGCCAAACATCTATAAACTTTAAAACTTAATTGAAATGTAAAAGTTAATTAAATACACAGTGCACATGTTTTTAAATTTTGATGTAGATTGATTTTTTTAAAAAATACAGTATGTACCTACCCTGAATAAAAAATATCCCCGACTTTGACTTGCAAAGGGACTTTGGAATTCTTCCTAGAAGAGAAAATGAGGGCATTACAAATCAAATAACACTAAAAATAAGTGCAAATTCTCCTTGAAAGTACATTGAGGGTCAGAATTACTTTCAACTATCATAACTACACATAGAGGGAATCAGGGACTTGAATAGAGAATTTTTGTATTATACCTGAAAATTTTCAACAACTAGTAGTATCATCAGAATCTTATATTTAGAAATAATTTCCTTATCAGTGTGACCAATTTGCCTTTCAGGAATTTTGTCAGTTGTAGGTGAATTCATCAATAAGTAGAAAGAGAAATGACAGACACTTCATAATTGACTATATTTAAATTCTCCTTTCGGCATTTTGTTAGAATGAAATAATTTATTTAAAATACATATTGCATGTGTTAACACATGAACAGGGGAAAATACAAAACAGAATTGTGTCAAAGCTAAAAAATATTATACAATATTTCTACAGAAATGTAGTTTGAAATTAAGGGACAAATTTGGTAAATTATGTTTATTCGATGAAGCTTTAGGACAGATGTTCCTAATATAATTATATATGCAGAATGTTAGTTTTTAAATTTCCAAATATTAATAGGAACGACCCAATTATTCATAATAAGTATATCTTTTTCTTAAACATTTCATTTTAAACTTTGTGAAAAAAATACATTAACATTTTATGGTTTCCATAAAATTGGCTTATAGCTTCCTATTTTCATTAACAATTATCTATATCATAAAAGCATTATCAGCATGGCTATCACCATGAAATCTGTCAGCCAAGACCTTTTTCAACTATTTTATAATATGAATACTATCATATTAAATTCTAAGAAATGCCTCTGATATATGTTTAAATTCTGAAATACTTAGTTTGCAACAAATGTATCTTAAATTCTCAATATAGTATTTAATTTTCATCTTTACTATAACTCCCCAAATTACTTAATATTGAAAAAATCTGTATTTAAAAATGTACATACTGTATACATGTATCAAAATATCACATGTACCCCCAAAATATGTATAACTATAATATACCAATGAAAAATAAAAAATAAAGTTTTTTTAAGTTTTCAAAATTAAAAAAAATGTACACATATAAAATATATGTTTATATACCTATGTAAGCAACGTTCTCAGCTGGGTACAGTGGTTAATGCTTGTAATCTGAGCACTTTGGGAGACTGATGTGGGAGGATCACTTGAGCCCAGGAGTTTGAGACCAGCCTGGGCAACATAGAGAGACCTAGTCTCTAAAAATAATAAAAAAATTTAGCCAGGTGTGATGGCATACACCTGTGGACCCAATTCCTCAGGCTCCTCAGGAGGCTGAGGTGGGAGGGTTGCCTGAGCCCAGGAGGTCAAGGCTGCAGTAAGCCATGAAAACGTTACTGCACTCCAGCCTAGGTGACAGAGAAAAACGCTGTCTCAAAAAAAAAAAATTCAAATGCATATCATATTAAAGAGAAAATACTAAAAGGCAGGACAAAATGTAAATGTAAATTTAAATGTGCCAAATATTTAAAACTTCCAAATGCAAAACCCAAACATACAGATCTTTTTAGAGTCTTATCATTAAGCATAGAGTAGTATATAAAATAATTTGGGAGGTAGAGATTAAAAAAAGATGTGGGAATGAAATTGGAAGATGTCTAGCAATCAAAATTTAAGAAAAGTGTTTTAAGATCTAAAACCTCATTTCTTCAAGAATCCAAAATATTTCACTATCAAAGATACATTTTAAAATTAGATGACTTAGGCCCAGCAAAGCGAACACTCTCCTGCAATTGCATTTCTATTCATCTTTTAAATTATTTTCTTTCGTAGGTTTCTAGGAAACTTGACTGGCTGCAAAATACCCTTAAGATTTATCATTTGTCTGAAAATATAGATGATATCACTGAAGGTGGAAAATTCACTCAATGTACTAAACTGGCCACAATACTGAGTGATTAGCTTTGGTTTTGTAAATCACAGCACTGAAATAATGTAGTCATACTAATGATTGTTGGTGTCTTTTAAGAAACTGAATCTTTAAGTTGAAATTGTTTACTAATTCATAACTCAAGCAAATACTTTAAGAAGTAAAAGTTAAATCAAAAAAGCATGTATTACTTCTAGAGTTTGATGACAACTACTTTTTTCTTCATTCTGCAAATTCTAATATTTTAAGGGGTTACTGCCTAAGATCTTACATTTCTCTTTACAGTTGGCATCAGATATTGCCTTCTTTGATGGAAGCTTCATTTAAGAATGTGAAGATTCTGGCCGGGCGCGGTGGCTCAAGCCTGTAATCCCAGCACTTTGGGAGGCCGAGGTGGGTGGATCACGAGGTCAGGAGGTCGAGACCATCCTGGCTAACACGGTGAAACCCCATCTCTATTAAAAATACAAAAAAATTAGCC